AGCCCACCCGCCCCCGCGCCCCCCAGCCAAATGCCACCGCTGCTGCTGGGGGTCCCTGCTCCCCCCAGCCCATGAGAAAGAGCTGCCTGGCGTGCCGTGGGCCCAGGCCCGTGCCACGAACGTGGGGCAAAGGAGGGAACAGCCCCGGCGTAGGCTGTTTAACACCCGTGATGATCACACTGCACTTTCGGCGTTAGTTTAAGCCCCGTAAGCCAGCCCTGTTGCCCCCCGCACCTCCTCCTGGCCTGGCCTGTCCCTTCCCACTCCTAACAGCCCCACTCCCTGGTGCAGTGCCCATCTACCCACACGGGTGGCCGTACCTGCACAGAAGCAAAGATGACATCGGCTTACACCTTTCACCAGTCACTAGTGACTCCAGCAGTGGTGACAGCAGCAGACCCCGTCCCCTCGCCCCTGAGGACAGGGGGAAAAGGGGGGACCAGAGGGCGCCCCTTCCTCCAGCAAAGCCCATTTCAAAGGTGGCAGCCCACCTCTGGGAATCCCTGAGCCTCTGGGATGTGGGAAGGGATCCCGGCTGGTGGGTGATAGGAACATGCCCTACAAAGCCGATAAAGCCTCATACACCTCAGGGACAGGACTAGCATCACCCAGTGGATGGGGGTTGCCCAAGTTTAGGTCTGTTTGCCTTTTGGATGGCATAATCTGGGTTCCCCCTTTCCCTAGAGGGGCCGGTAACGTCAGATGCTGAAAGAGAAGGAATACTGCTCCAGCTCTGCAGTTCCCATCCTCTTCCCTTCCTTCCAGCAGCTACCCCCTGCTCCTGCCACAGCCTGGCTCCGGCTGGTGCCCGGGTGGGTCCCTCTCAGGGGCTATTAACCCCACACTGGCAGCTGCAGAGGGGTCCTGCCCCGCACCTTCTAAAGACACCTTCCCCTTCCACCCAAAACACTGCCCTTGGGTATCGCTTCCAAGACACACCCCCCCCCCCCCCGCCTTGAGAGACAGGAAAGAGGGGGAGAACGCTCTTAAAAGGCCAAACAGAAAAAGGAAAAAAAAAAAAAGAAAACAAGAGAGACAAAACCTATGGCACGATTCGTGGGCTCAAGCAGCACTGAGCAGCAGCAGAC